GTGTCCCACAAAGTGAAGCCCAGCCTAGCCTTTTCGACCTACATTGAATATAAACAGCTGAACTCCTAGCCGGCAAGGAAGGCAGTAAAGGTGAGTAGGACAGATGTCAGGCACCTCTAGGTTGAGATCGTATCGAGACCACTACTTGGGCACATTGGTTACACTCAACACTTCAGCACATGCTGCAAGTCCATGCAGAGTTGGCTGCAAGCACAGACTCAAGGCCCAGGGATCTTCATCCACGACGTAATTGTGAAACACCAGCGCTGTCGAAAGTAACAATTATAAGAGACTGTCTGTTGTAACCTGCTTCAAACTGGAGACTCTGCCTGAACGTGTCGCCGATTCTGTCCACAAAGTACCAGAGCCCGTTGGCATCCTGTTTAGGGCTTAGGGTTTAGGCGGTTTAGGGATTGAATAGCTTCTCATCCTCTAAATACCCTGGAACTCCCTATCAGAGCAATTCTTTAAGGACAAGCTTTACGCAGCACTGTTTAGCTTGCATGTTAGCCTGGGCTTTAGGTCAGCAAGCTGGGGTCTTGGAGTTTCAGGATGCAGGCTTCTGTTCTTCAAGGACTTCGCCTGGTTGGATTGGGCTTTGTACTGCACAGTGAAGAGTTGTTGGAGAGACGCTTACGAATCTTATGGTTACAGAATAGGGCAATAATGGCAAATCACGAGGAAAAGAGTTTGGCAAATGGTCTGGTTCACAGGGATGCACTACCTGGCATGAGACAACTGCAACTTTCGCGGCTTTGGCAAAAAGCAAGGATGCAAGAATAACATAATGCGAGAAAATGTTTTCCCCCTAAACCCCAAACCCTGAACCTAACCCCCCAGTTGTTTAGGGGCAAAATAAATTCCCCCAATTGTTTAGCACCGCACCCATGTCAAAGGAAGTCGGCTTTGCAGATGTTCTGCACATAGCCAACATATGGCTAATTCTCATAACTATGGCCCCTTTTCGCCATGGATTGCATTACGGCGCCTGATTAATTTTGGGAACTAACCATATGGCTTGCAGTGAGGAGTTTATCATTCATACACGAGCCGCGTCAATATTACAATTTCTCTATACTGCTTACAAGGTTGGGGTGGGAAGTCAGGGCTTTAAAAAGCTAACAGAGATCCAAAATAAAGATGCCACAATGTAAAGATAGCTCAACTCCCCTTCCATCCCCATCCAACACATGAAAAACAAACCCTCTCAAACATCCTCCTCTCATAAATCTCAACAAGAAAGACTTTGAAAATCTCTGACATTAGAAAATTCATCCCTTTCCTCGACATCCTATGATAGAATGCTCATGCATTCCTTGGGCTCCCGAAAAGTCCTTCTTTTGAGAAGCCCCATCAGGAAAGGCCTTGGAAAGCAGATCTCCAGAGCGAAACCAAGCATCGCCCTTGCTGAAGACATCGCGGAGCACCTCCCCGGGTGCAGTTTGTTTTCAGGGTATAGGGGTTTAGGGTTTAGGGTACTAGGGTCTAGGCTTTTAGGGTTTAGGGTTTAGGGGTTTAGGGTATTAGGGTCTAGGCTTTTAGGGTTTAGGGTTTAGGGGTTTAGGGTTTAGGGTATTAGGGTCTAGGCTTTTAGGGTTTAGGCTCTAGGGTTTAGGGGTTTTGGGTTTAGGGTATCAGGGTCTTGGCTTTAAGGGTTTAGGGTTTAGGGACTTGGAACTTATGTAAGCCATAGTCTACACTCCTAGCATCCCCCTTAATATACCCTATAGTTGTCCCCTATATAATGCCCTAGATAACCCCCTTTAACGAGTTTGGACTACAACTCATGCGACTTGGGACTCATGTCCATGTGTCTAAGGAATAATGGAAAATCAAATGGAAACTACTATCTTAATATAATATATAATCGGGTATATATTGGGGTTGTAGGGTATATATTGGGGTTATAGGGTATACATTGGGATTATAGGGTATACATCGGGGTTATACTTCTGAGGATTATCCGGAGGGTTCCAGAAGTCATGGATTCCCTTTGGATCCCGATGAGAAGAATCATATTTTTTGAGATATTGGAGCATCCCTGCGTGTTAAAACTCCTGTGTAAGGCTCTGTGGTTGGAGCCTTGGATTGAGCGTCTGGAGGATTTGGCAGCCTGTTTGAAATAAATTCCCTTACTTGATGGTTTCCCACCATGGAGGGTTCGCTCTCGGGGTACGTATAGTAGGTAGCATTTGCTGCTGCAGGGTGTGTAGCAGGTCCTAGTTGTTGGAAGCCAATCCATTCTTTAGGTTAACTTCCTCTTCATCTACCAGGTGGAAGCCCCAGTCTGTGGCAAAGTATCCTATGCCCTCGATGCCAAGGACTCTGCCAAACTCCCTGTTTCGACTCACCTAAAGCTCAAACAAGGGTAAGTGCCCTCAAAAATGGTTGATTTCCAGAACTGTGGATCAAGTCGTGAGTTTCAGGTTCAGGGATCAGCACCGAGGGTCATGAGGCCCTGGATGCTGCGGCTCCGGCAAACGACCCAGATTCAGAACTGCGCATATCCGTATCACAAGACTTCACCCAACCTTTATTCCCCATCTCAGAAGTACTATGAATTCCCTCATCCAAAAAAACATCCTGCGTCAATTTTACAAGTTTAAGCTCATAAGCACCCCCTGCCAAGGCGCCGCATCTTTTGGCACAGTCGCGATTGCGGGTCTGCCATTTGCTTTTCTGCAGCGAGGTGCAAAAGAAGCCGGGTCCAAGCCAGCAAAAGCTGTAGCCCTTATGATGAAAACGGCAGTACTGAATTGCGTCATCATGATACAGCATTAAGAATCTGAATACTCCTAAAAGTCCTAGTTGCTATCGCACTACTACACCATCTCTATGAATCGTGAAGTCCGGGCCGGCTTCCTTACCGCAGAGCTTAGCTGCTTAGAAGCACATCCACGCTGGATGCCTGCATACTCGAGAGCGAGGGGGCCCACGCTGGGCCGAAAGGCTTTCGGGTGCTGTGGTAAGTGTTGAGGGCTCAGACGGAGGTTAGGTTTAGTTGACAGCATCGTGTTCAGGGTTCAGGGTTTGAGGGTCAGGGATCTGGGCTTCAAGGTGGGACGAGATTTACGTTGTCGGTGTCCTGAGAAGTTCCTCTCAGAGAAACTATGGCTTCTAGGATCCATCTGAGCAGGGTTTTGGTGTACAGTTGGGGTTTGCAGTACACTACTTGGGGTCTTCCACCAAAAACCCTCAACATCCTGACCTTAAAAGCCAATATATGTGTAAGCTCATGTCATGAAGCACAGCGACCGATACCGCCTCCTTCAACATTAACCATAAGCTTCCAAATAGTTAGCTACAATGCTCTCAAATCAACAAACCCAGATCCTGACTACGCATGACGTCCCACCTGATCTTCTAGGAGGGCAGTCCTTGAAGCACCGCTATTTGCATGGGCTCAGCCCCGAATTCCCGCAGGCACCACTATGGGCTTGGCGTGTTCCGCAAAGAATAAGATGCATGCGGGCTGTAGTCCAAAGTTCTGAATCGAACCCTAAAAGGCCCTCAATGTACAAGTCCTTCTAGGCACTTTGGACTGCAGCTCATGCATGCTCATGTGCTTGCAATCTGTACACTTGCGAGGCTGCGCAAGGGTCCAGGGTTCTGAACAAATCCCGGAGATCTAAAGCTGCAATGCCCCTCAAGGCCGGCGTTCAACAAAGCATCACATAGCTTCTGGCCTTCCAAGAGCTCAGATTTTATGGCTTACGGCCTTCCCTTACCACCCTGCAGATAATGAAGAGACTTTGCTAATGCCAACACTCCGTATCGAGACCCTAGGACTCTCAGATTACTCTTATAGGGTCCTGATTATAAGCGCTGGGGTAGCCAAAGTAATTTGAACAGTCCCCATGTGGAGCCACAATCCATCTCATTTTCCATGCTGTGTGCTAGTGAGTTCCCCATTGCTGGTGTAAGATCCCAAAGCCGCAACCCTAAATAATGTAGAAGCTTCCATGTCATGTTCCAGGTTCTTTTCCAGCTGTTTCTGCATTATTGGGGTTATGTATCCCCTAAAACCTGTAAACCTCCTAGATATACAAGAGCAGCAGCGGCAGCAGCAGCAGCTGCAGTAGGAAGAGGAGTAAGTAGTAGTAGCAGTAGTAGGTGGTAATAGTAGCAACAGCAGCAGTAGCAGTAGTAGTAGCGATGGCTACCATTCATTATCCACCTGACTGTCCAGTTAATTCTCCATTCTTAGCGGGGCGTTATGGCGGCACAGCTCCAGTGATGCGCACTCGCTTTGGTCGCCTCCAGTGGTGGCCAATCCACTTTGCAGCCCAAAGCATGTGCAGATCTGTACCCAGCAGTTGGATCAGCCAAAAGGTTCATACCTAAATTGTACTTGTAGTGCTTTAGGCATTTGAGGTCTATGGGCGCCTTCCACTCAGGCTTGTAAACTCTGCTTCTTCGCAGTGACCTGCCCAAGATTGGCAGATCCTTTGCCTAACGTTCAACACCTCCTGTTCACAGGCCAGGCTTCTTCAAAATCATTGGTTTAAAAGGGCATGGTCGGCTGCCCTCCGCGTCGTGATGTATCTGGCTGGGTAGACTGGCTTAGCATGATAGACCGCACAGCACGGATATAGACTACTACTCGTGGATACTGACTACTGCTCGTGTGCAGAAACTACTGGGCTTGTTTCAGCCAATCATTCTTAAAAACCTTGAGATTGTCGTCGCCGCTGATCTTATGTTTGCTACTCGGAGCTATCTGTTCGAATGCAGAATTAGAGATGCTGCAGTTACAGTAGTTACAATGCATCCATCTTGATCTGTCCTACATGAGGGGGGACTACTAGCCAGCTCTTCTGCAACCCTACCCCACAACAGGTTGCTAAATCCCTGGTTGGGCTCAAGGAGGCTGGAACTTGCAGAAGCTCGCCCTCCATGTCAAAACCAGCGGCCTACATCCTAAACAATACCTCAAGACCTACTTCATGGAGGGAAGTCGGCAATCGTGAAACTCGCCCTTATCCTCTTCCTTTTCAGGATTAACGGCACTTCTGATCTTGCAGCGCCTGCCAGGTTGATGTGTCCAGCATGACCACAATACTCGTAACAAAAGGACACTGCTACACCTCCTCCTCCTCCTGTCGACCTCTGCAGCCTTTGCATGTCAAAAAACAAATTGACCAAAAATACTCGGGACCACAATTGAACCGCCTTCAATGTCTCGTGAGGCTTTTGTCTGGGAACTCCTGTTTTAGGAAACTCACGTATCGTGTGATCTTATGCGAGTTCCGGGCCGCACCTTTCTCGCCCGCGGCTTCCAAGCGCTAGCCAGTGTGCGCAGCGTGGTGGCCATCACGATTGAGAGTGCCCAGTAGCACCTTCGACCCGACACGTCTTGCTTAGCACTTGGGGCATAGAGCAAGCTGTAGGGTAGTTTTTGAACAGAAAACAACCACTGGATGTGGGAAGCTGAGACGAATCACTACAAGTCACAACTTATAACCGGTGGCTGGGAAAGGGCAGCAAAAAAATGCTGACGGCATGCCTGACAGTACATGCCGTAGCCTGGTCATGACTGCATGTACAATTTTTTTGAAGCTGCCACAGTACTGGAAGGCTCATGGGTGGTTACAAGTTGGGTCCTGCCCTCACCCATTAGCAGTCTATAATCGGAGCCATATTCAGCGCTGTAGATCATTGCATTGAAAGGATTATCCAACTGTTAATGAGTGAGGGCAGTACCCAAGTTATAGGCGGGGCTATGAATACAATCTATCGACTTAGAACCCAACGACGCGGGCCCGTGAGGTTTCCAAAAACCAGGAACAGAAATCCTATGAAAGGAGACCAGAATTTATAGGGGCACGCTTAGGATTCCATTGGATACATGCTTGTTTGGCCCCGAGCAATTAGCACCCCTGTGAGAATTAGATCCCGAACCCCCTGAGGATAAGTGTTGCTGTACAGTCTAAGCATCATACGATACTGTTAAGATGTTAATGTGAGGGAGGAAGACCCTTTATAATCTCAGTTTTCATGCGCTGCCGTGGATTTCCATGTTAGGGGAGGAGGTCCCTATTCCCAGCTGCAATTTCATGGCCAATTTCGGTTTCCATGTGACTCTCAAACTTTAGGGGAGGGGACTCGACCAAAATCCTATAACCCCAAACTCTAAACCGTAAGTAAGCCCCAAACCCCAAACTCCAACCCCCAAACCCTAAACTCCAAACTCTGAACCCTGAACCCCAAACTCTAAACCGTAAACCCCAAACTCAAAACCCTAAACCCCAAACTCTAAACCCTAAACCCCAAACTGTAATCATTCTAATCTAAACTCTAAACCCCAAACTCTAAACCCTAAACCCCACAACGCCTCCGCACTCGGACGTTGTGCCAGCCCAGGCCAAGGGAGTTCCCAGTGATCAGAAAACTGGAGGCCAAGACCTGTTGGGGTAATGTAGGGTTTAGGGATTTAGGGTCATGTTGGGTTTAGGGTTTAGGAATTTAGGGTTTTGGGTTTTGGGATTTACGGTTTAGGGTTTAGGGATGTAGGGTTTAGGGTTTAAGGTTTAGGGATTTTTGGGCTATATAGGGATTATAAATCTGCAGCTCAATCCCAGGGTTCGCAGGGAAGAACTATTAGGGTTTCAGGGTGTTAGGGTTTAGGGCTTGGGGTCTTGGGGGGTTTGCGTTCTAGGATTTAGGGATTGAGCTTTGGGGTTTTAGGTTTAGAGTTTAGGGTTTTAGGGTTTAGGGGCTGGGGTTTTAGGGTTTCGGGTTTTGCGTTCAGGGCGCAGGGGTCCGGGGTTTGGTTTAGGGACCGTAGGCTTTGGGGTTTAGGGTTCCGGGTTGAGGTGTAGAGCTTAAGATTCAGGGCTTCCTGTTGAAGATACCTGAAACTGAAAACAACCCTGAACCCTAAACCCTGCCACTTGTGAGAGGTCCCTAAATAGCTGGACTCTGGCACCTTCTCTATGACCTGCACCAAATGCATGATGTCTGATCCACCCTAACTCACTGATGCTTAGTAGGGAATACGATCCCTGTATAATCCCTGTACAATATATTCCCTTATTCCCTCCTCTAACCCCAATATCCTATTATCATGTAGTAGCTTCCATTTTCTTTTCCATTATCCCTATACCATCCTCCTCGCCTTGCCTAGGCACTTTTTATGTTTTTTGTTTTTTAGGGTTTAGGGTTTAGGGTGCGCGGTTCAGGGTTTAGGGTTCAGGGTTGCCATTTCCAGGTAATTGGATGGATGTATGAAAGGTCCCGAACGCTCCTTGAAAACTAGATGTCTGCTGGGAATTCAAGTGGGAGTTTCTCAAAGAAGGCAACCACCCTCAGGGAATGTAGGGATATGTGGGGAGCAAAAGGATCCCTGTTGTAAGGTAGATCGGGAAGGTCTTATTACAGGACATCCTTAGACGTACAGCCTCAGTTCAGACTAAACACACCAGAAAAGCAAAAAATACCCCCAAACCCGCAACCTACAAAGGAGCCCCCACCCGGCCAATCGTGACCACAAGGGGCAATGATGATCACCTGGAAATTCCCACATGTTCCCATTTTACCAATATTCGCGGGTAGAGGACAACCGCCTGACCCTAATGAGGAGAATTTGGTACCCCTAGGCACCGCCCCAAATTAGCACCATTTCGCAATCATATGATAAGGATGAGGTCCTTATGAACAGGACCCTGCCTTGAGCACCTGCCCCACAAAGGCCTGGTGCACTGGCTCCTGCGCCTGTCGAAGAGGGTAAAGCGAAATTTAGAGCCTACAGAATACAAGGTGTGAGTGGGGTGTAGTACACTACATATGATAAAACTTTGAAAGGGCAATGTTCCAACTGTTTCACGCATGGGGCCGTGGTTTTTAGGCCTTCAGCGTTCAGGGTTTGGATATGAGAGCTTGTGATTGAAGGCTTAGGTCACAAGAGGTTGTGGCAATGGAACTCTTGATTTGGGGCAGCCCTAACCCTATAAATCACCATGTGACCGCAGTTTCCTTGTCATCTTTCCAGTCTGTTTTCCATGTGATTCTCCATTGTTGGGGTCATATCCCTGTATAACCCATATAACTCTGATATATCTCTCTATTAGAATATTGTAGCTTCCATCTTCTTCTCCAGTATACCCTGATATCCCTACATACCTGTTCAGTGGGCACCTTGCATGACCTGTGGCTTTGTGGCTCAATCCATCCTCCTGCCTTCCGTAGCGGAGGGCAAACCTGTCCCAGGAAACAAATACTAACTGTAACAGGATTCAGGGTTCAGGGTCTCAGATTATTGTGCCCGTGTCCTACAACTAAAAACTCACTCATTCTCAAACCCTCCACAGAGACCATTCAACACTCCCCTGCATGCATGCTCAATGGCATGACCCCTTTCCTCCAATCGCTTTAGTATCCCGCAGCAATTTGGGACTTGGGGCAAACCCTGTATACCCCATTCCATACTTTAACTTTCATGGGCTTTTATGAGTAGATTTTGTCGCACATTTGGGACCTCGACACACGCAAAATTCCAAACTGACGGCCCTACTTAACCTCACGTAACACTGTGCTTACCCTACATGCGTTGAGGCTCCGAATAGTTCTGCGAAACTCAGGAGAACCCCCCCGGGAACCTCAAGCAGCCGCTGCAGCTTCAGCGAGTTACCCAGGCCGAAGCTACAGCTCGTGAGCATGGCAAAGACCTCGAGTTTCATGAAGCAAGGGATGCCTAGTCAATGGCCATTGCGTGTTGGAATCTGGCAGGCAGAAGCGCATCATTTAGAGGGCTTCTTAGCCATGTGTAGCATAGGAAAATGAAAGGCTCCCAGTATTACGAGGTAAGGGTTTAGGATGAAGAGATTGATGGATTTGGCGTTCAACGGTGAGGGTTTTGGTGGAGTTGAACCCTTGAATGCAAAACCGAGCCAGCGATCATGGTGATAATGGCACTGCAAGTTCAGGGCTTTCGCCCATTCTTCGGTCTCTCTATTGCGCTACTCGCGTCCTTTATCGGCCCCTGAGGCTGTTCCGGATGCACTCCTCTTCGTGCTTTGCGAACACGTTGAACGAGAGTCTATGTTGGAAAGTGTTGCCCCGAAAGAGAATTCCCATGCCTTACAATACTACTGAGGATAAGCATAATAACATTAATTATAGGAATGATGCTTAAGATATTCATGATGATACTTATACTAGTACTAGTGATAGTACCTAGTAATAGTAAATAGTACTAAAGGACACTTTCTGACCCAGCAGCGGGCATCGGCAGCAGCGGGGAGGCCTGGAGCAGGCTGCGGTCCAGCAGCGTTGCGATGCTACCGGTCCAGGTGAGAAGCGCGGCGGCCTTGGGGCTTCAGCAGGTTTTGGGGTTAGGGTTTATTAGGGTTTTAGGGTTTAAGGGTTGTAGGGTTTAGGGGTGTTAGGGTTTAGGGGTTTTAGGGTTTAGGGTTTAGGGTTTAGAGTTTAGAGTCTAGAGTTTAGGATTTCGGGGTTTAGGGTTTAGGGTATAGAGTTTAGGATTTTAGGGTTTAGGGTTTTAGGGTCTAGGGTTTTGAGGTTTAGGGTTTAGGATTTTGGGGTCTTAGGGTAAGGTCTGAGAATGGATACAGGAGTTTCCCCAAAATTAGGGGGCTACCTTATTGGGGGTCCTGGGAATAAGGAATAAGGGATTCTAGTTTTTGGCGTTCTGAATTGGAGTCTCCCTGACTATGGAAACTACTAAATAATGTTGACCTAATATTAATGAACCTCTGCGTATCTCCAAAATTTACAAGCCCATCGCAATTGCAAAATCCAGTCTGCCAAAACGCAAACATTAGGAGGCGCTGGCTGCTGGCTAATACTATTGCTGGCCAATACTACTTCAGCTCCAGCTGATGGATCTTGGCCAATACTACTTCAGCTCCAGCTGATGCATCTGCATACCCTCAACTACGGAGGCTGGCGCCCAAATTCTTGCAGGGGGGTTTTCCTTAATGTGAAGTGGACAAGAAGTGACCAGAGTGAAGATGAGATGACCATGCGCCTGTAGTTGCAAGTAGCAAGGATGAGGGGCTTCAATGGTCGACAAAACGGTCTTATGCGCGGCTTCAAACCGCATGACCTGACAGCGCTCAAAGCAAAATCTTGTTAGGCGCATTAGTACTTGGAGCAAACAACTACTTTGGACTTTACATTCGGAACTGGTAACCTTGAAACCAACACTCCGAATCTGAAGGTTAGAAAGAGTTTTGGGCGCGTCCTACATGTAATGAAGCCGCATGAAGCTTGAGGGTATACCGTGCACAGCTATTCAGGCCTTTCTACACAACACCCTCACGTTGCGACCACACCACCAGCACGCCGATCCCGGGTAGAAGCTTCGGTGCTCCGCTCAACAGTGCCCGGAGCAGCAGTGGCAGGTAGGCCACATGAAGGAGCAGCCTGGGCTGTCGCAAGAAATCTGACCATTCTTCTGAAGTAGATCTGCCTACCGCATAACATTGTCAGACAAGCTCCTGGGACTGTTCTGACCAGTGCCAGCAGCACTAGCATACTCTGTTTTTGAACGTTACTGCCGTGATTTTGGTGAGCGGTATCTTCAAGCTGAAGCTAGGGGCCGAACATCTGAATGGGTTGGGCAGCACAAACCTGCCCTTGAATCCTAAATCCTGCCCAAGGCACCCTGACGCTAGGAGCGACAGCGGACAGGATCGTCCCAGAAACGCGCCACCAAAAGCGATGTTCCTTAATTAAAGCCAACACATTCATGTCTGAGGCCTCGGGCTTGTGAGCGATGTATATAGCTTTTCTATTGAAGCCTGACACTGAGTTTATGCACAGAGACTTCGAAGAATTGGACGAACTGAAAAACCTTGAAACAGGGGACGCGGAACAACCTAATGCCGCAGAACCACAGCCGCAGGCAACTTTCAGAAAATGGGGGGGGTGCAGCACACCGCTGTCCTCTACAGACTACAAGACCTGACCTTCCTCGAAAATCGCGTTTTGGCACTGCTCTACCCTAACAAGCAATAACCAGTCAAACAAACAGCATCAACCGCAGTTGTCCTGGTAACTCTACCTGCATTCTGTCTGTGGACCCTCTTCAAGAAGTCTAAGTGTTGGCACCCCGTCATACGATAGGATCACCCCAAAGTGTCCCGTTCCGTCCAACATGTTAACCCTCAACGGCCTGACTTAAAACAGCACGTGGCAATGCCCAGCCAAGTCTCAGGCATGGAGTGCAGGCTAGAATGTAGCCCCAATCAGTGTACTCCTCGGTGCTAATTGCAGTGGTTGAGTTGTAGTAGCTGCGGGCTGCGGTAACTGTACTGCAAAGTGCTGCTGCCATTGTATCTTCAGCAGTAGTAGTAGTAGTAGTAGTAGCAGCAGTAGTAGTAGTAGTAGAAGAGGTGGTAGTAGTAGTAGTAGTAGCAGTAATAGTAGTAGTCGTAGTAGTAGTCATTGTTGTCGTAGTCGTAGTCATACTTGTGCAGTAGAGATACAGGGCGGAAGGCTCACAGCGGATCTCCCCAAGATGCTAAGGCACCGTCAGGAACTTTTTCCATAGCATGCTAACCAAAAGCAACTGTACGTGGGCTTATCAACGGCGTAGCAGCACTTCCTTCGCACAAGCACTCAAAGTAATGCAATGGTTCGCTAGAGAGCCGTAGCCATCCCTTTTGCAACGAATCATAGCAACAACGGAAATGCTGGAATACTACCGACCCTTGGAAGAAAGCGCTAAACTGAGCAGGTGGCTGCACTTCCCTTGTGCACGCACTGCATGCCATGGCCGACAGAGAACAGCGTTGCCCCGATGAACTTGATGAAATGCCTTAAGGCTTTGGACTTCAGATCTTTGAGGTTTCTAGGGGCTTTCAAATCAAGAATTTATTCCTTGGATTCTTCAGGATCTAATGCCTATACTTGTTGCTGCAGTGATCCCGACAACATGTTCCTACGCAAGCCTTGTGCAACAGATACTCTCTGTACAAGCTTTGCGGGGTCATGAAGAGAAATCTAAATCCGCTTCAGAAGGCCCCTCACCACAGCACATTTCCATGGAAGCCGAAGCCCACGAGGTCAAAGCTAGGTGGCAAGGGATTATGATTTCAGCTTTGCAAAGACTGTCATTCATATAATATACGAATGACAAAAGCCAGTAATAATAGTAGTAGTAATAAAAATAATACAATAGTAATAATAATAATAATAACACTGTCATTTATTATTTCAGACGTTTAAGCCTAAATGCAGGCAGGTCTCCCCAAGCCATCAGCAAACTGAGGCGAAACCCGACGTCGCGCGTGTATGTACAGAGCGCGCAAGAACTTCAGGTAGATGAGCGGCGCCTAAAACATCAGCGTCTTCACCAAAACAGCACCACTTGATAGCCTCTAGAGGTCCCGCAAAAATCAAATGACCAACAATCCACTCCCAACTAGGCCGCCAAACTATCATAGGGGATGCTTGAGGGCCAAGCACGTGGTTTTTGCGGAGTGCATGGAATCATTTGGGATAGCACAAGAAACCTTCGTGGGTTACACAACAGGCGTCCTCTGAAAAACAAACTGACTGCAAGTGACACTCTGCTGCATTGCTCATGAGGGATTCGGAATACCGCAGCACGAAACCCTAACGCGCCTGAAGGGTGTAGTGGCTTGCTTAATCTACTCGCCTCGCCCAACATCAAAACAAAGTTCTCCCCCTAATATTAAAATTCCGGGCCCCGGAAAATCATGCAATATTGAAGGTATTTTATTGAAAGCAGTAGATAGGGCTGCCGCTAATTTGAAAACAAAGTAGGTCAAACTAAATGTCAAGTAAAAGCCATCTAAAACCAAATTAGCATCAAATTAATTGGAATCTTCATCAAATCGAGTTAGGATTTCTTTAATTAAATTCGGAAAATACGATTGCCTACCCGACTCTTCCAAAAAAAGCGTCTTGTCAATGGCTACTGCCTTTGAAACAGCCCCAACAAAAACATCAAAGCCAAAACCCTTGAAGCCTGAGCCTATACCTCTACACCCTAAATCCTTACATCCAAACCCTCGGTACCGAAGCCCTAGACTCCTGAAGTCTATGTCGTTGAATCCGTACCCATTTTAATCCTCAACCCCAAAAGCGTCAATCCCCAAGTCCCTAAACCCTAAA